AAAAACGACGTCACCAGTAGCAGCAAAAACAACAAAAATACAGCTTCTATACACTGTTTAATGTTGACCAATTGATTGTTGCAACAATTAACCGACTATGCAACCAAGAAAAAAAAAAAAAAAACAAGAATTTTGAAGCACTGACTTGAAACAAAAACAAGAAAAAAAAACTCGGCAACGATTCAACGATTTGTCAAAATTCAGGAAAAAAAATGCACTTTCAAATTTATGACTGTCGATTAACAACACCAATTATGTCTTCAGCAACTGAAAAAAATGAAACAACAGGAAAGATCCAAAAAAATAGTAATAATTATAATCATCAGCCAAAATAAAATAGAGGAAATTTATCAGCGACGAGATAAAAAGCATAAAATAAAAATAAATACTTTTTTTGAAAAAAAAGAAAAGAGGAAAGATGCTGTAAAATGATTACATTAAAATATTTTGCTTTTTTCATGCTTAAACTTTTTTGTATAATTTGTGTTCGCTTTGCTTTATTTTAAAAGAGAAGAAAACGCTTAAAGAAAAGTACGCTGTAATTTCTTTGCGCTTAAAAAAGGTGAAAAAATTTTCTATTTTTTTTCTTTTCCTCTTTTTGTATTTTTATTTTTTATGTTTCGTTTTTTCTTCTTCGATTCTGCCTTTTTTCTACCAAAAATCAATGTAAAAATCTCAATTTAAAGAAGAAAAAAAAAGAGAAGAAGAAAGCCAAATTTATAAATTTTGAGAAAGAAAATAACAACAAAAAAGTAGAAGTAAAAATATTATTCTACTTCATTCTTCTTCCTTTTCTTATTTCCAAAGTTGGAAAAAAAGAATAAACGATTAGTTTATTGGTAAACAATTTGTTGATATTTTTTTATTACCGTATTCTCCCTGAATGACCGTTCTATTCGTCTGTTCGCTCATTTTGTGCCTTTTCTTCCAACATTCGTTCAGTCAGTCAATCATTCGCTCGCTCATTCATTAATTTATCTATTCATCTGATGATCCATTCATAGATTCTTTCAGCACTTTTTTTTTGATACTTTTTTCCATTTTCTCTTTCAATATTGTGCATTTACACTTTTTCTACTGATAATTTTAAGGTATTTCTTGACCATTACGTAAAGCCAGAAGGTAGGGAAAAGAAAATTGAAGTGAATAGGGGAGAAAAAGGCAGAAGTAAAGTGGATGAATTAAAAAAGAGAAGCTTTTTTTTATTATTCAAAAAAAAACACCAAAATTTTGGTTTCTTGATGTTTTCTCTGAAATATCAGCGTTGCTGTTGGTGTTTTCTCTGGCAGTAGATTGACAAAAAAAAAAAAAAAAAAAA